CCCCCACCCCGTCCTTTCTTCCTTCGTGTGCACTTGGGGCGGGGAGCCAGGCTCTTTCCCAGTTGCCAGCTTTGTCTGCTCGCTGCCTTCGCGCAGCCTTCTTCGGGGTCGCGCTCGTTACCAGTTTTCACCTTTTTAAAAAAAATCTCTGGAGCCTGAGAACCCGACAGCTGCAGTGTGAGGCAGAGGTGTCGGCAGCCCACCTTAGGGTGCGGTACCTTTGAGTCTGCTCCCTTCCCCTTCCCACGGTCAGTCTTTGGGTACCGGGATAGCCTTAAACTCACAGGAAAACTTAAGTGAGGACCCTGGAGAAGAGAGGAAAAAAGGAGAGTGGGTACAGACTTCGAGGAAAGTCTGTCAGGAAGTGTGCGGAACGGCTCGTAGAGAGACCCGATCTCCCAGTTGCACGTCGAAGCGATTAAAAGACGCGGAGAAACTTGTTCCTTTTTGCCATGCACTGAGAAGGCCGGGGTGAAGGAGACCCCGTGTCCGTGCTCCCTCTCCCTCCCGGGCCGCCTTGGCTCTGAATCGGAGGTGAGCGGGCGGTAGGTGCAGTTTCCCTGAACCCGGAGCCGCCGCCGCCGCGATTCCCGGCCCCGCGCTGCCCCAAACGTTAGGTGTCAGCCTCGCCCTCAGGGGATGGGAACTGTCCTCCAGCTCTGCGTGGAAAGGCCATTTCCCATCGCACCTGTGTGTTCCGCGCGCCTGGTGATGGACATCAAAACGACTGTTTTCCTGGTGAACTTTTCGCACGGCGCTGGCGAAGCGCGCGGCGTTGCGCGCGAGCGGGGGGAAGGGTGTTAAAAGCGGCGCAAGGCCGGCTGCTGGCTTTCCGGCGGCTGCAGCCTGGTGAGAGAACCCGGGCGACTTTTAAGGAGAGGTCTTAGCTCCAGTGTTGAAGTGTCCAAATGAAAGATACTGGGCTGCCCGGTCACAAAGAAGGAAATAATCGGCGAGGGAAGGGGTGTTTATAGAGAGAGCCGTGCCATCCTGAAGCCGGTTAACCGGGCGTAACTCTCTAGATTGAGTAAAAGAGTGGTTTTCATTTGATCTCTCCTTTTATGTTTGCAATGCCTGCCCCTGGTTTATGAGGGTCATGTTCTTCTGTTAAATTTTGTCAGCTTTTGAGAATTTCTCACCTACCTTTTATTCGCTAATTCTGCAGGGTTGGAGAATGGAACAAATAGGCCAAGGGCCTCCAGGGATTTGTAGATCAAGGCATGAAGGCTTAGATTATCAAAAACATGAGGGAAAGCCATGTCTTATAAAAAGTATTTGGGCCCTGGCCGGGTAGCTTGGTTGGTTAGAGCGCCCTCCAAGGTTGTGGATTCGATGTCTAGTCAGGGCACATACAAGAAACAAGCAATGAATGCATAAATAAGTGAAACAACAAACCAGTGTTTCTCCCCCCCACCCCCCTAAAAATTAAAAAAAAAAAACACTTAAAAAAAATTTGGTTGACCCAGTGAACCTATAAATTGCTATAGGGCAAGAGGCAAGAGTAATTGTATGTTTCAATGAAAGGTTATTAGAATTAGGCTAACCCTTTTATGAGTGTAGGAAGAGCATGAGGAAGTGTTTTTTTTAATCCTCACCAGAGGATATTTTTCCCATTGATTTTTAGAGAGAGTGAAAGGGAGGGAGGGGGGAGACACACACATACACGGATGTGGGAGAGACACATCGTTTGGTTACCTCCTTCAGGCCCCCGAAATGGGGCCTGCAATGGAACCTGCAACCCAGGTACATGCCCTTGACCAGGAATTGAACCCAAGAACCTTCCGTGCTCAGGCCAACACTCTAGCCACGGAGCCACACCATCCAGGGCAGGAGGAAGTTTTGAAGAAAGGTCAAAGGGGAAGGCCAGTGCAACCTTTGTCTTACGTTAGAGAATCTGTGTGACAGTAGAAAACCATTCTGCTAGAAAATATTTTTGGCCTTACTACATAAGCATCTTTGAGTGAACTTAATCTTTAATCTGTTGATCTTTTAAGAAGTTTAGTAAGTTATGCTAAGGACTTAAATGAGTCAAAATGTTTCCTCCCAGTTTTTATATACTCATCATTGTAAATGTAATTTTGTTCTTTTAGTTTATTCACAACTGAAAAATCACTAACTTGCTCAACTTACATTTATTAACCACCTATATTGTATGGAAGGCACTGTTTGTCTCAGGCTTAAACTCTCTCTAGTTGTATTTTTAAGTTGAAATAATTTCAGTTATTAAAATATATAAGGCGTCTACAAAAGTTTACAGACAAGGGAGGAGTGGAGTACAAAGTGCTCACTTGCTTCAGACTTGTTTTTAAATCTGGTTTTAAAATTTCTTCACCAAACTTAGAGTGCATGTGGTTTTCATTGTGGGTGGAGGGGGGTACAGGCTGACAAATAAGGAACCACACCCAAAACCAAACAGAGGTTGTTTTTTTTTTAACCCTTCACCCGAGGACATTGTCACTGATTTTTACAGAGAGGGGAAGAGAGAGAGAGAGAAAGAAAAACACAGATGTGAGAGAGAAGCATCAATAGGTTGCCTCTCACACGTGCCTCGAGTGATGTAGGGGATGGAACCTGCAACCTAGGTATGTACTCTGACTAGGAATCGAACCCGCAACCTTCAGTGCATGGGACGATGTTCCTACAACTGAGCCACACCAGCCAGGACCAAACAGAGTTGTTTTTTTTTAAATTCTGATATCTTATAAACACTTGAGTTTGCTTTCGTATTAACAGAAACTTCCCATAAAAAAATAACATTTTATAATAAGGTAGAACTGAGTTCAATGTCTTGAATTTGTGATTACTGATCTGTTTGGCACATCATGAATCAGAATGTTTGACTCTGAAGTGGAGCCTTGATTTGGAATCTCTTTGGTCTGAAGGGATGATTCTTTGTTTTTTCCCCCCTGAGTATCATTGTATAAAACTGTTTAATGTTGTCTTTTTTCTTAGAAATAGCAAGTGTTTGCACATTCCTTAAAAGCATTAGTTTGATCTACAAAGCAAAAAAGCTCCTGAGTATTAAGCGGAGAACCTTCAGAAAACTTTTCATAAAATGCACTACCTTCGAAAGTGGACCTTAGCCCTCCTGATTTTTAGTCAGCTTTATTTTGGGATGAAAACAGACTTAGGAGCCAGGTTGTGTGTGAGGAAGACATGATAAGGATAAAGTATTGAACGTTGTTGCTGGTGCAGGAGCAAGTCAAGGTTGGTGTGTAGTCTGGTCAAGTGTGACAGTAGAGGGTAGCAGAAATTTATGGGGGGAAATGAGATTTAAATTTAGGAAAAAATGTTCTATCAGCTATTTAAACTTTGTTGGTATTGGCTTTTTCATATGTAGAACTAGGAGCTTAGGGTACATTGTTTTTTTTGGTATCTTCCATTACTAAAATTGTGATTCACTTTTTTTCTTTGTAATATTGTTTCCATCATAGGTCTTTGTTTTTAATTTGTAAATTGAAATAGTGAACATTTATCGGATAGATATCAGAGTACATATATACCTATAGATAAGCATTTTAGATTTTTTTATACTGTAGAAATTGTAAATTTAAAAGTTATTGGTAACTTAATGGTACTAGTACATGATCATTGAAGAAAAAGAAAATGTGGAAAGCATAAACAAGAATAAAATTATCTATTGTATTGAGATCATGGAAATATTATGTTTTGTAACCTATTATTTTCATTTGGATTGGAAACATTTCCCCTGACTTTAACCACATTTGAACATATTTTAATTGTCTGCACATTATTTCATTATAGGACTTCATCATTATTTAATCAGTTCTGTTGTTGGGTATTCAAGTTATTTCTAGTTTTCCTTTGTTTACAATGCTGCATCGAACCCTCTTGTGTGCGAATCCTTATGGGTCTTTGATTTCTCCAAGGTAGATTCCTAGATGGCAAAGAACTGCACTGTGTCTATAGTGTATGTGCTTTTTTTTTAGATCCTCACCTGGGGCTATTTTTCCTGTTGCTTTTCAGAGAGCGGGAGGGAGAGTGAGAGAGAAAGAGAGAAAGGTCAATGTGAGAGAGACATCGATTGGCTGCCTCCTGCATGCGCCCCGACCCCGGAGATCGAGCCCACAATCAAGGTACGTGCCCTTGGCTGGAATTGAACCCGGGACCCTTCATTCTGCAGGTCTGATGCTCTAACCACTGAGCAAACTGGCCAGGGCTATAGTATATGTTCTTAATTTACACACATGGTATTGTGATCATACTTCCTTTTAAAAAATGCAACACTGTTTTAAAGATATATTCATGCCACTTTTAGGTACAGGTAAATTTGCTTCTGACTGCTACATAATATTTCTCTGTGTACACCCAAAGCATTTTATTTACTTCCTTACTGAATTGCCTCTAACTTCCCATAATAAAATGATGGTACAATGAACATCCTCTGTAATGTGCATCCTTGTGCATGTTACCTTAAGAGCCTGTGTGACAATTTCTCTAGGCCTTTTATCTAGGGATGGTATTTCTGGGTCATTGAGCATTAATATATATACTTATTTTCACCAAGTGTTCTGTTTGTCTGGCTTTTGTTATTTACTTGTTTGTACTCCAGAAAAGTTGTACCAAGGGGGTAGGAGAGCGAGTAATTGGTAGATTCTAACTCTGAGACTAAAACCTCTTTTCTTTGTTTCCAGCAGCCATGGCGATGACAGGCTCAACACCTTGCTCGTCCATGAGTAATCACACAAAAGAAAGGGTGACAATGACCAAAGTGACACTGGAGAATTTTTATAGCAACCTAATCGCTCAACATGAAGAACGAGAAATGAGGTAAATAATTTTAAGAAAGTTGTGTCATGGTTTTGGCATTTATGTCTGATACCATAAAGCACCTTCATATTATCATTGAAAGGAGACAAGAATAACAGTGGCCACATTATAGCCTGTCCCATTACAATAGAATGACAGTGTCATTGATTTCCTAAGCCCTTGCTATTATAACCCACTTATTTCTGATACTAAGTCAATAACACAAAATTCCATGGTAGGATAAAACGATTAATTGGGCCAAATCCTTGGACTTCATTCAGGCAGTGTGATGTAATGGAAAGAGCAGCTGTTATGCAGTCAGACTTGGGTTTAGAATCCTGCCTTTATCATTTAGTAGCTATATGAGGCTGGAACAAGTTTCTTAGTCTTTCTGTGTATCAATTCCTCCATCTGGAAAATGAGGATAATACTACTTACCTTGCAGGATTGCTGTGGCGATTAGACATAACTTATGTGAGTACGTACCATAGTGCTTCACACATAATCATCAGTTAATGGTGGTAGTAGCAGCTATTATTGATCTGGTATATACTATTCATGTAGTAACTCATAATTACAATTTATTCCCAGTATTTTATTGTGAAAATATTTAAAAGTGCAGATAAGTTGGACGAATTGTACGTAGATACCCATAAATAATCTAGATTCTACAATGATCACTTGTTGTTTTATCACATATCCATGTATCCGTCCCTCTATCCATTCATTAATTTATCTTATTGTTTTGTTACACTTCAAGGTACGTTTCAGATGTCAGTATATTTTACTTCTGCATATTTTTTCTTGTATAACAAACTAGAGTTCAATATTTTAAGGGAGTAAAATTTGCATGCAATGAAATGTACAGTCTTAAGGGTTACCATTCAATGAGTTGTGACAAATACATACACCTGTATAACTTAAACCCTTATCAAGACATAAAACACTGCCATTATCCCAGAAAGTTCTTTCATTCCTGGAGATGCTCATTCAACCCCAGGAAACCATTGTTGTGATTTTGTTTCTATCATTGATTGGTCTTGCCTATTCCATACAAATGGAACATATAAACAGATCCATATAGTAAGTACTCATTTCTTTCTTTCTTTTTTAAAAAATGTATCTTTAGTGATTTCTGAGAGAAAGGGAGAGGCAGAGAGAGAGAGAAACATCAATGATGAGAAAGTCACTGATCAGCTGCCTCCTGCACGCCCCCTACTGGGGATCGAGCCCGCAGCCCGTGCATGTGCCCTGACTGGGAATCAAACCTCGATCTCCTGGATCCTAGGTCATGCTCAACCACTGAGCCACACCTGGCCAGGCCATAAGTACTCATTTGAATAAGGCAACTTTCACTCATCCTAATGTTTTCAAGGTACATTCATGTTGCTGTTGTGTCAGTAGTTTGTTCCTTTATGTTACTGAGTACTGTTTTGTTTTTTGACTATACTTCAGTTCGTTTATACATTCTTTTGTTGATAAACATCTGGGCTTTTTTCCAGTTTTTTGCTATTTTGAGTAAGTTTCTATGAACAGTTGTTACAGATCTTTTTGTGAACATTTGTTTTCAGTTCTTGGGTAAATTTAGGAGTGGAATTGCTGAGTCATCAATGTACATAGGCATATCTTTAGTTTTATAAGAAATTTCTAGACCTTTTTCCACAATATTACCAACAGTGTATGAGAGTTGTAGTTGCTTTACATTTTTGCTAACATTTGGGTTGTCAGTCTTTTATCACTGTTGTTTAATTTGCATTTCCCTGATGATCAAGGATGTTGAACATTATTTTTATGTGCTTTTGGCCATTGGTATATTTTACTTGTGAAGTATTTATTCAAATTTTTGACCGTAGAGTTGTAAGAGTTCTTTATATATCCTAGACATTGGCCCTTTGTCATATACAGGTTGTCCCAAAAGAGTGTATGTGCACTTTGACTGATGATAAAGTCAGTGTTTATTAACATACAGTTCATTTTCAAAATTTAAAAGAATCTACAGAAATGAATAATTTTTTTTGGTCAATGCCTGTTTTCACACTAATCATCGTTCTGGTCTGGGCACTGCTGATAAGTTGAAGCAATAGAATTGCAAACATCAAGAATCACTTTGTTCGGTATTTGTGCATCCTCAATTTGTCAGCTATTGCTGGTTTTGTACTGTAAACTTTATCGTTTATGTAGCTCCATAAAAAAGGTCTAGTGGCACTTTAGGATAAATTTTCTTTGTTCAAAGCTTAGTCTGTCTTCACTCATTATTTCAAATCAGTTAAACCTGAAAAGGAGTGAAAATTAAGTGAGTTATTAGATGTTAAAGTGTGTATTTTTTGGGGGCACCCTATATATGTTTTGCAAATAGTTTCTCCTAGTCGGTGGCTTTCTTGTTCATTTTCTTAATGATGTCTTTAGATGAGCGGAAGTTTGCAATTGTGGCATTTTTAAATTTTTTCTTTATTGCATTCTGTGACCTCTAAGAAACTTTTGCCTATGTCCAAGTCATAAAGATACTATCCTGTGTTTTCTTCTGGAAGTTTTATGGATTTAGTTTTTACATTTAGTACTATGATCCATCTTGAATTAATAAGTGTGTGATATGAAATGAGGGTTGAGATTTATTTTTTCCTTATGGATATAGAGTTATGTTAGCACCATTTGTGGCAAATATGATTTCCTCCCCCTTAAGATTGCTTTGACACTTGTTGAAAATTACAACCATTTAAGTGTGTATCTATTTCTGGGCTCTCTATTCTATTTCATTGCTCTGTTTATCCCTATGCCAGTATCACACTATCTTTATTACTGTAGCCTGTGGTAAGTTTCGAAGTCAGTAGTGTAAGTTCTCAACTTTGTTCTTCTTTGTTCTTTTTTTCAAGATCGTTTTGGATATTTTAGGTTCTTCATATTTCCCTATAAATTTTAGAACCAGTTTGTCAATTTCCAAAGAAAAGCCTGATGGAATTATGATTGTAATTATATTGAATCTGTAGATCAATTTGAGGGAGAAATTGACATTTTCATAAATTGAATCTTCTGATGCATGAATATGGTATATCTTTCCATTTTGTTAGGTCTTCTTTAATTTTTCTCAGCATGTTTTGTAGTTTTTAGTGTGGAGGACTTATGTGTCTTTTGTTCATCTATTCCTAGTATTTTGGGGGCGTTTTGGTGCTATTCTAAGTGGATATTTAAAGTGGATATTTCATTTTCTTGTTCTTTGCTCTAGTGTTGTAGAAAAATAAATGAATTTTGTATATTAGCCTTATATTCTGTGACTTGCTAATTTACTTATTTTAGTAGCTTATTTTTATAGATTCCTTAGGATTTTCTATATAAACAATCATATATTTAGTAGAGAGTTTTTCTTTCTTTCTTTCCAATCTATACAGCTTTCTTTTCTTGCCTTACTGCATTGGCTGGGATTTCAGACACAATGTTGAATATAAACAGTGGAAATAGACATCTTTAAAAAAAAAAAGATTTTATTGATTTTAGAGAGAGAGGAAGGGAGAGAGAGAGGGGAAGAGAGAGAGAGAGGAACATCTATGTAAGAGAAACATGGATCGGTTGCTTCCCACACACCCTCCGACTTGGGATCAAACCTGCAAACTGGGCATGTGCCCTGACTGGGAACCAAACCAGCCACTCTTTGGTGCACAGGACATGACACTCAACCAACTGAGCCACACTGACCAGGGTGGAAGTGGACATCTTTGTTTTGTTCCCAATTTAAGGGGGAAAGCACTTACTATTTCACTGTTAGTTACATTGTTAGCTGTAGGTTTTTCAAAGATGCCCTTTATAGATTGAGGAAGTTTCCTTATGTTCCTATTTGGCTGAGAGTTTTTTTTTTTATCGTGAGTGGGTATTAAATTTCATAAACTGCTTTTTCTGCATCTTTGAAATGATTATATTGTTCTTTAGTCTTTTAATATGGTGAATTACATAGTAAGTTTTGAATATTAATCTAACCTTGCATTCCTGAGGTAAACACTCTTGGTCATAATATATTACTCTTTTTATATATTGCTGGATTCAACATATTAATATTTAATATTTTGATACGGAGTTTTGCAACCGTGTTCTTCATGAGGTGTAAATCATAATTTACATGGGATATATGACTTGACCTTAAATATGTAGATTTGTATGCAGAATAGCAAGATATTTTATAGCTGGTGGTATCTAGCTGCTATTCACTCAGACAAGTGCCTGCACCAGTGCCTGTTGTTAGGATCTGGAGAGTTCAAAGATAAATTTGCACAGTATACCTCTAGCCATGTGAAATCTATTGGAGATAGTTACTTTCAAATACAAAAGTCTCTTGAAATACAAAAGTCTCCTGGTGTTGTAGTTATGAATCTTGATTAAGTTACTTGTTTTATTTGATAATAGTTGGTTTCTAATCCTCCTGGCTCCGGCCTGTGGTTCATCATTGATGTGTATCACATGCCTCAGGAACAAGATGATGTACGGTTTTATTTACATTACTCTAATAAGGGTTAATTTGTGATTTACACTGATTTTACCCTAAAATGGGTTGAAATCAATGCTTTTTTATTTGTTTGCGATTCTTAAGATAGAAAGAACTTTCCAAACTTTTGTGGTTTTTCCTTTCTTAAAGAGTAATTAATCAAAAGACAGTAAGAAGAGAGTGTTAGACATTTAAGAGAGTTAGAATATTTGTTTTTGGTAGTTTTTGTTCTCAAGTCACCAGTATTTTTCTTTTTTAGTATTTTTCATTTTTTAAAAAGCAGCAGACACTGTGAGCTTTTTAGAATCAATATTTCCTTGTTAAGCTTTTTCATTTAGTGCCCTTTTTTTGGGATATGAGTTGATATTTGGTTTTGGGTTTGTTGATACAATTTGATAAGATGATTATAGGTTTTATTATTCCTAGAAAGTTAAAAAAATATAAAAGAAAAACAGTTATTGGCAGGACTTAGTATAGTAGTAAACTAAAATTAGAACTGTCAGAAATGGATTGTTAAGCTTTTTTAAAAAAATATATCTTTATTGATTTCAGA